TCTGGTGTGACAATAATCATCATCATCTAGGGAGAAGAAGAAAAACTTGTTTCGAAAGCGAGGATCCAAAAAGAAAAAAAAATCAATGGTCATTGAATCTCTGGCCGGAAAGTTTCTCTGGAAAATTTCCAAATTTTTTCCTCTCTCTCTTTCTAGCTGGTAATATTTTCCGAAATTTTGATCGATGAGTTTTTTTTGTCAATGGTAATCCATTCCGGAGATAGCGAAAACCAAAACCAAAGATTCAAAAAAAAAATCAATAGAGACAATTACAGAGAAGAGAAAACAAAAAGTGTCAAATTGACAATGTTGATTACACAAAACAAACGAACGAAATGGTTTATTGATGGGAAAAACAAGACAGAGAAAAATTCAATCATCAAATGTTTTAATCGATGATGATAATGATGACCCTCAGATCATATCATAGACAAGCCACAGATCCAGAACATCATCGACAACAACAATGGTGACAAGACAAATCGGTTCCAAAAAAATGTATCTGGTTTATTGTAATCAACAACAACGAAAACTTTGTATCTTTTCATGTCACCATCGCGAAATCAAAGTTTTGTTCGTTGGTTGTTGGTCTTTTTTTGTTGGATTGATAGATGGGCTAATAAACCATAACAACAACAACAACAACAAAAAACTACCGAATAACAAATGTACTTTATCATTGTTTATCATCATCATAATCATCATTTATTTCCATTTTTAGGATCCTGGTTTGTTTTGCCTGTCTAGTTTTTTGCAAGTTTCACGCGCTCGCGTTACAATGTTACAAAAACGACGTAGACGGTCACAAAGTGATTTATGTCCTTTGGTTTGGAGATTTGTTTTTCCCCTGAATGAAAATGATAGAAAACAATACGAAGAGAATGAATGAATGGGGCAAACCAGAAACAGAAAAACTATGTACAAACGATAATGATGACAATGGATCATCTATACCGGCAAAATAGAGGTGTTTGTCGTCATCATCATCATCATCATTATTATTATCATTTAGTTAAAAATACCACCATTAAAAGAAAATCTCTCTCGCTTAATCATTTTCCAAGCTAATCATCATCATCATCATAATCACTGTTTAATTCACAAAATTTCATTCAATTTTTTCGCTGTTGTAAATTCGAGTAGTTCATTATATTCACACACACAATGAATGCTGTTTCATGTTGGATATCATTTACATAACAATTCCTATCTAATTGATTTCATTTTTGCTGTTGTTGATTTTTGATTTTTGATTTCATTGTCAATGAATGAAAAAGAAAATGAAACCACAAGATGGATAAGATGGATTAGTTTCTTGTTTCGTTTCGCTTTCCAATGTTTTTCCTGATGTTTTTCCCGATGACAAATTGAATTTGTATCTTTTTTCCAGCGATGAAAAGATTGAATTTGTATCTTTTTTCCAGCGATGAAAAGATTGAATTTTTTTTTCAATTCACTTTTCAAATCAAAAGTCAATATTTTTTTCCTCTTTTTTTTCATTGTTAAAATCCTGATTGAAAACATTACTATTGAGTGAATGATCAATGAGTGATGCTATAGATTCAAAATCCACTATAAAGATCGGTTCAGATAATAATAATAACCAGTACAGATTGTGACAGAGAGAGAGAGAACATTTTAGCTTTTTTATCAATAAACTACAATACAACAACGAAAACGAAAAAAATTTTGATTGACAGGTCACCAAGTACGATATACGCACGATATATTGGCATTGTGTGTTCATATTTTCCAATCTCTCTCTCTCAATCACTATATATTCGGAATCCCATATTATTATTTTTGTTCTCTTCCAAAATCCAATTCAATCGATCATCATGTTGTTGTTTTTATAGTGTCAAAGTTTGTTACGAATCGATCCATTCAAGGTTTCAATGAAGAGAGAGAGAGAGAGAGAGAGAGAGAGAGAGAGAGAGAGACTTTATTATGATATTCTTTTTTTCATTTGTTTTTTTTCCATTGGAAAATAAACAAAACAAAAAATTTTCTTCAAATTTTCGTTATGGTTANCGATCCATTTTAGATTTAAATGAAGAGAGAGAGAGAGAGAGAGAGAGAGAGAGAGAGAGAGAGAGAGAGACTTTATTATGATATTCTTTTTTTCAATTGTTTTTTTCCATTGGAAAATAAACAAAACAAAAAATTTTCTTCAAATTTTCGTTATGGTTACCACAATCCTTTTAATGATGATGATGCTTAAATCCAAAACAAAGGTTTGTGTAGGATATATCAATGATGATGATGATTTTTGGTTTGAAGATTCGTGAATCCATGATTTTTATTTTCACAATTGTTGTTGTTGTTGGTTTTGTTGTTGTTGGTAAAAAAACTTCAAAAATCAAAAATGACAAATCCGCCCTGTTCAATATGAATGTTTGTGTGTTTGATTGAAAGAAATCAACAATTGTTGTTGTTCGATGTTTGTTGATGTTTATGAAATATCATTGCAAATAAACAAACAAACTTTTGAATGGAAAATGTTATTTTTTTCGGGGGAAGAAAGATGCATAAAAAAGATGCTAAAAGGATTTGAAAATTCAAATTATTAACACTTTGGCTTTTCAAGAAAATGAAGAAAAAAAATGTCAATGTTGAAAGCAGAAAGAATGAAAAAAAGGCGAGAAAAAATGAACAAGTATTTCTGT